TCCTGCCTCATTATGGGAGGAAGGAATTCTGTACAGAGGCCAAGTAGAATCTCTAGACAGCTGGTTTCCTGCTTAGTGTAGTATCGTTACATCACAGGCCTGATCCAACCACCTTTTCTATACAGCTGTTTGAACTTCCTGCAATATAAGTGAACAATTGACAGCTCACCTTTTCATCATTGATGGAAGTGTGAACTTGTGCAGCCACTATGGAAACTAGTGTAGAAGTTTCTCAAAAAGCTAAAAAACAGAACTTCATGTGACACAACTATACCACACCTGAGTGTATACCCGAGAACTCCATATCCTACTGTAGAGATACTTGTTCACCCCTGTTCATTGCTGCTGTGTTCACTACAGCCAGGAACTGGAATCAGCCTAGATGTGAATGGAAAATGGAAATTGGTAATACACATCCAACGAAATGTACCCAGCTGTAAAGAAAAATTTCAGGTAAATGTGTAGAACTGGAAAATACCAGACTAAGGTCACTTTGGCACAGAAAGACCAATGTATCAGTGATCTCTAGAGGAACAGAATTGACAGAATGAATATATATGGGAGGTTTATGAGAATGGCTTATAGCCTAAGTAATTCAATAATGACTGTCTCCTGATAGAAAGGCTAAGGCTCCCATAGCTCTTCCATCTACAAGACTGGATGTGAGGGGAGCAGGCAAAGAACAAAGACTTTCTTCTTCCATGTCTCTTTATGTGGGCTGCCACAAGAAGTGTGTTCCAGTTTTAGGGTGGACCTCCTGACCTCAAATCTTCCAGGTTTAGGGTAGGTCTTCCCATCTCAGATGATCCAATCAAGAAGAATCCCTCACAGGTATGTCCAGCTGTTTGGGGATTAGGTGATTCCAGATGTAGTCAAGTTAACAAGGAAGATTACAATCACAACAAACATCAACAGCTCTCACCACTATGTCTATCTGAGCTTCTTAGTTTTAGAGCTGGGTATGTAAGTTTGGGTGTGTGCATATAGAGCCAAGAAAGTTATAAAAGAATGAGGAGGGGGAGAATTAGGTAGGGGGAGCGTGGAACACATGCTATAGGAAAGTACAGAAAGAGGATTTTGGATGTGGAAAGCTTAAATGGAAATGGGAAGGTGTGTGTGTGTCCGGGGGGGGGGGGGGGGGGGGGGTTGGATATATGAAAAACCATATGGGAAGCTACTATGTAACTAATTTAAAAAATGGTCAGTTTACTCTGACTTTTTGATCTTTACTTTTGATCAAATAGATTCATTATGCTTTTGTTTTGTTAATTCATCTTTTGCTGTTGGGGATCTCCACACCAGCTTCTAGGGAACTCACCTGCCTTAGTGAGTTCACCTAGTGATGGCTGCATCACTCCAACCCCTACTATAGTCTAGGCACCTTATCAACTCCTGCCTCATTGTGTGGACCCTTGTTGTATGAATATGAATATACCTGCCTTCAGAGAAGTCTCATTCTCAAGAACAGAATGTCAGAGAGGACTCCTCTGTGAGTGATTTCTCTCTGTTCTCTGGGTTTTCATTCAGGTCATGAAACTCTCCTCCCCTAACCTCTGATCATTTCTAAGTCGATTCTTCAGCCTTCTCAAATAATTTCTGGAAATTATCAGTTAATCAAAAAAATTCTTTTAAAAAAGTCAATGAATTCTTCTTTAAATGCATTAATTTTACTTCTATTGTGTATCCAATAGAACTACAATAAATAGGGAGATACACACAGGCTACTAACAGGGTTGGTATTAACATTATCAACACACTGTGTATGCACTGATACTTCCAAAGTGCAGCATGGCTGTCTTTGGTGTCATTGGAGGTGATTTCAGACCTCGGAATGTTTGTGTTAGTTATGTTCCTCATTGCTGTCACAATAATACCAGACAAGAAGCAACTTGGAAGGAAGGAGGAAAGTGCTTGTTTTTGCTTGTAGTTCAAGGACACAGTCCACTGTGACGGGAAGGCATGGGGACAAGAGTGTGGGGCAGCTGATGACACGCATCCATAGTTATGGAGGAGGGAGAGATGAATGCCGGTGCTTAGCTCATTCTCATTCCCTCCACACCCCAGAGCACCAGATGCTGCTGATTTCATTCGGAAGCTGGTCATTCCTCTTCAGTTAAACTTCCCTGGATGCTCTCATAAACACACCTAGAGATGTATTTTCAGGGTGGTTCTAAATCCAGTCTAGCTAACGATGACAATTCTCCATCACAATGCTTATATGTTTTAGTAGTATAACTGTGTGTTTGTGTTAAGATTCAACAGAAAAAAATTAATTAGCATCTTAAAGTTATGATTTCACAGCTACTGGTGCTCAGGAGGAGGTAAAATGGGTAGTCTCTGTATAAAAATAAACACAATGACGTACCTTTTCTTGGTATAGTAGCTTTTTCATTTGTGATCCATCAAGTGTGCATGTTTCCCATTAAGAAGAAGACAAATATGAGGTGAGACACTATGCTGTCGGGCTGGAATAGGGTTGTCTTCTGGGGCTGGATTACAGCTCTTTTACCCTATGCATCTTGGCCTGAAAGAAGCAAAGCTTCTCTCCTCTCTGGGTGGTAGGGAGAATGTGAGCACATGAGCAAAGATAGGGAAAGTGTGTGCTTCTGTTAAGGACTTTGGAGCTGATGGGGTGGCACAAAGACACAGAAAGCTTTCTGTTTCCATGGTGACATGCACTGGATGGTATATGGATTGCTGTATAGGTGATTTTACCAAATGAGATCCAGGATATTGAAGTGCTTGACCAGTGTGTTAGTTACTGTTCTATTGTGAATGAAAAAAAAAAAAAAGAAAGAAAGAAAAAGGATAGGACATGGCTACTACTATATGGTGGAGGAGAAAGTTTATCCCAGATGTGTAGGAATATCTGAGAGAGTCCAGAGTGGACTTGACCAGGCTGAGCTAGGCCATGTGAGAGAGGGGGAGGGGTAGAGAGGAAAGAGGGGAACCAGGAGGCCAAAGGTCCAAAAAGGGAAGGGTGACCAGAATGTCTGGATTCTATAGGGAAGAGTCTGTGGCGGAAGTGCAGCCCAGCCCCTGGACTGGAGAGTTCAGGGTAGAGGGTGGGGTATGCAGGCCATATCCTGTAAAAGGTAGGGACTGAGGGATGCTTGGAGAACCTGGTGGCCAAGTCTAGCTTTGATATGTTAAATAGGCAAGCACCTCTGCTATTTGTCCCTGGTTTGAAACTTAACGTATTGCTATGAAGAGACACCATGATCAAGGCAACTCTTACAGAAGAAAGCATTTAATTGTGGGCTTGCTTACAGATGTAGAGGATTAGTCCATTGTCATGGCAGGGAGCATGGCTGCATGCAGTCAGGCATGGTGCTGGAGAAGCAGCTGAGAGTTTTACACCCTTGATCTGTAGGGGAGGGAGGGAGGGAGAGAGAGAGAGAGAGAGAGAGAGAGAGAGAGAGAGAGAGAGAGAGAGAGAGAGAGAGAGAGAGACTGGACCTAGCATGGGCTTTTGAAACCTCAAAACCCACTCCCATTGACATAGTTCCTCCAACAAGGATAGTCCTAATCCTTCTCAAACAGCGACATTCCCTGGTTACTAAGCATTGGAATATATGAGCCTATGGGGGCCATTCTTATTCAAATCACCATTTTGGGATCACTCAATTGCAGAGGAGAATGAGTCATAGAAGGGTGAATCTTTTGCTGCCCCACACAGTGAAAATCAATGTCTTTGTGAACCAGAAGTCACGTGAACACTATACCCAAATAACTTATGCTAAGCTGGATGCTTAGCTGCAAAGTAAAAACCAAGAGAAAAAGCACACAGGCTTCCTTGAAGAGGTATGCAAAAAGCATTGGTTTAATTTTCTACTGTGAGCATAACTATGTCTAGCCAACCATGCACAATTGGGCAAGGGGAGAAATGACTCTGCCTACCAGTCTGGGCTCTCTACTTTCACATCCAGCTTATTTCTTCTCTTATAGCACAGCAAATGTGGGAAAGAAAGCATATTTAAAAAATAATAGCTTGATGCCTTCCAATGTCTTTTAGCAGTTTTTTAGTTAGTCCGTATAGTGTCTGAAAACCAACCATTATCCTTGCTTTTTTTTTTTTTTTTTTTTTTTTTTTTTTTTTTTTTTTTTT